CGATGATAGGACATTTCCTGATGAAGTAGATGAACCCCACGTGAAGCAGAAGCCAACGGAAGGTTAATTAACAAACGGAGACTTAACAATATGAAGGAATTCTGTAGTAGTTTCAGTTGTTGAAGAATGGCTTACTAGCAAGCACTAAGGGGTTAATCCTTTAATTCAGGTTGTACATCAGTTGCCTGGCATGTGACAGGTTGTCAGGTATAAATCTAAGGAGAGAAAATATATTGAAGAACTGAATTACCATAAATATAAATAGTTGTCTAACTAATGGCCATAGCAGACTGCAATTAGGCCTGAAGAAGGGCCTTGTTTATGAGAGAAGACTGTAGTAGTATATATATTGTTAAAAGTTCCTTACTACCAACTGCCTGGGGCAAATTCTTGGTTTCAAATCCATAGTGAGAAAATATATAGTGAAAAAAATGAACTAAAAGAAATCTTTGTTTGAGCATGCATCCTAATCAAAGTGCAAATATTGTTGTAAAAGAACAAAATAGACTTACAACTTGTAGGTTGTTTTGTACATTTGGAAGGTCAAGGTTTTTTAACAATTTGGTTGTATTGTCAGGTGATTATGTTTTTAGAAACAAGTTAATATATATCATTTCAAAGTCAAAAAAATTTTGATATGGTTGTGTACAAAAATGTGTTTAAATGAAAGCTTCAGAATAAATCTACTAATACAAAACATTTGCAAGGAAGTTTATATTAAACATTTTGATGTTAAATATTATACATTGAATCAACTCCTTACTGTTCAGTTAAAATAATGTAAAATCACATTCATTCATTCTTCAGTTGTCAACACTGTGCAACGTAGTGAGTGTTTCTAGCCTTTCCAAATGAAAACTATCATTGTAACTACTAAGCTTGAAACAGTGAAGATGTAAAGAACCAGCAGCTTTTCTTTGAAACCATTTTCCTGTAATTAAAGAATTACATCCAATATAAACTCACAAATTATATATATGTATACAATATGTATATATATATATATAAATATATATGACAATAAAATAGCAGGTTTGAACTCAGCAGGGCAGCCCAGAGGGTGGATTGTCTGAGGAATTTTTCCAAGGTCCCCAATTCAAAAGCCCCCCCCCCCAATATACAAATTACTGTTTGATAAAAACTAGAAAAAGGTCAATGGATAACAAAGAATATTAATCATACAAGTTAGGGCCCCATAAAATATTAGAATGTTTTTCAAACTACCTTGACATATGGCATTCAGTGAGGTGCCAGCCCAAACCTCATCTTTGTTTATATGTGAAAGATCACCATCATGAATTGATAAGCATTACTGAGCATTGTGATTAATTAATTATCTTTCAAAACAATTTCATGTAATATGTAAAGGCCCTATATATATTGTGTGTGTGTGTGTGTGTGTGCATGCGTGCGCGTAATTGGCATATTAACCCGACATTTAATCTTATTGTCATGACAGGGGAAGTCACGCGACGCTGGGAGCATGCACGCTCGAGTTTCTAGAAGGATCATGACTTTCCTGGCAACTCTAGTCTGTTCCAGGTGCCCTCTCTTTTAGTATATTTTAGTATATTTAGGAAATTAACAAATGACCAGATACGCAACAAATTGGTATCAGAGAGTGGGACGAAAAAAAAGAAGATGGAAACGAGAAGTGGCAAATCAAACTACAGCTTAGCAGATTTGATGGCAGCAATACAAGAACAGCAAAAGAAACAAGAAGAACGAGAAGATAAATAAGAAAAGAGACAACAGCAGTGGCAAGAAAACTTGAAATAGTGGCAGCTCGAACAGCAAAATAAACAAGAATAGAGATTACAGCAGTTGTTGGAGGATAAAGAAAAGAAACAAGAAGAGAGATTATAGCAGTTGTTGGAGGAAAAAGAAAAGCAACAAGAAGAACGAGAAAATAAACACGAAGAGAGACTACAGCAGTGGTTGGAGGAGAAAGAAAAGAAACAAGAAGAGAGGCTACAGCAGTGGTTGGAGGAGAAAGAAAATAAACAAGAAGAGAGACTACAGCAGTGGCAACTGGAACAAGAAAGGAAACAGGAAGAAAGTATCCAACAGTTGCAGGAAAGCCAGCAGCAACTACAGGAAAGTCAACAACAGTAGCAAGAAGTACAAAGGGAAAATATTAGTAAATTTCAAAGTGAATTAAATACATTAAAGAACGATTTACTGTCTTTTACACAGGGAGGTTGTATTAACCATTGACTAATCAGTCCCAGAGAACAGGAAGCCTCTTCCAGACCCCGCAGCTAGACCCTAATGCAAACATTTTCAGTCCTACCAGAAATCACATTCCAGACTTGAGTGTCAGCAATAGGGGGGATCTAGAACGAAGGAAGCCACAGGAATTCGATGGGAAGGCACCGTGAGAAGCATATAGAGCCCAATTTGAGCTCCTGGCAAAAATGAATGGATGGACAGAGGAGCAGAAAGCAGCGTATTTGGCAACGAGCCTGAAGGGACAACCACTGGAAATACTTAGTGCTCTATAGTTGTGCCTGTCATCTGCTGACAACTGTCCGGGTAGCTGCTCTAGAACTCAGGTATGGAACCCAAAATCAATTTGAAGTCTACAGGGCAGGGTTTAGGACGAAAGTCCGTGCTAAATGGGAGAGCCTGCAAGAGCTGGTACAGGATTTGGAAAGTATGGCACACAAGGCCTACTCAACTGTGCCACCCGATGTTCTCAAGCTGTTGCTGAGGGATCAGTCTGTAGATGCCTTGGACAGTCCACAACTGAAGATACAAGTAAAGCAAGCACACCCCTCTACTCTGCAGGATTCAATGGCCAGAGCTTTTGAATTCGAATCCTACATTAAGTCCAGCACAGAGGTACCAAGGTTGGTACAGTCATCAGGATTCAAGGCCAGAAAAGGGCAGCTTTCAGAGAAGTTTGAGGGACTTTGCTGGCACTGTAACAAACCTGGTCACAAGAGAGCTCAATGCCGGCAACTTCAACACAGGAAAGATGCTGCAGCAGGAAAGGCTGCTACCCAGAAAGGTTGTTGGAACTGTGGAGAGCATGGACATAACAAGAGCCAGTGTAAGAAGAAACAACCAATAAGTCAGCTTCGGGAAACCAGTAGCGGTTGGGGTTGAGGAATGCTCACCAACCCCCATTGTGAAAGCCCCAACAGCTAAGTGTAAAATGGCAAGCACACATAGTGCCTACGTGACAGGAAAGCTGAATGGCCAAAAGTGCAACTTTCTCATAGATTCTGCATCTCAGCAAACCCTTGTGAGTATCAAAGTGCTAGATCACAAAGGAGTACCAGAAGCCATACAGAAGCTCTGTGGTGTGACAGGACATTATGCAAGGCTGTGGGGACCAGTGTGGGTAACTATTGCGCTCATGGGAATAAAGGACAGACACAAAGTATACTTGTCTGACATTGAAGACCAATGCATATTAGGGTTGGATTACTTACAACCGAGGAAGTGTGTAGTTAACTTTGATAAAATGACATTTGGGAACAACAAAGGCCAAATTCCGGTAAGTGTTGCTGCATCTGTTGATTTGCATGTCACAGCCCTTAAGTCAACTACAATACCCCCTATGTCAGAGAAGATAATTTGGGGTAGAATAAAAGAACATCCCCAAGGAAGCCCGATGCTTGTGGAAGGAGTGGAAGACCCATCCAGGCTGCACAGACCTTGTGGAGCACAGAATAAGCACAGACAATCACCATCCAATAAAGATCCCTCTGAGAAGAATAGCTCCAGCAAAGCGACAAGAGATGGAGAAGGTCATGGATGGCCTAATTAAAGGAGGGATAGTCGAGAAATCTGATAGTCCCTGGTCAGCTCCTGTCGTGTTAGTCCAGAAGAAGGATGGGACCCAACATTGCTGTATGGACTTCAGGGCTCTTAACAGTATAACCAAAAAGGACTCGTACACCCACTGTCAAGAACTGATGATACTCTTGATGCCCTAAGTGGAGCCAGGTGGTTTACAACTCTGGACTTAAAGACGGATTTCCATCAAGTGAAAATGGCGGAAGTAAATAAACCTAAAACTGCATTTAGTTATGGTCAAGGTCTCTGGCAATACTGT